TATTTTGTTATTGATGTGAAACAAAAATTAAACATTTTAATTAGTTTAATAGCAATAATATTATGAATGTGACTTTTAAGTACCCTAAGGAACATAAAGATTTGAGTCTGGGCCTATGATAAATATTACCAGTGATCATAAAATCATTGGGCCACTGGAATAATAGCATGATATTTCTTTTCCATTTTGGGAGACAAGGTATTAAGCCAAGGTCAAAAAGAGAAAAGCTTTTGCATTCTATACCAAATGGAATTCAAGTGTCTGTTTTGTATCCTTACTGGATTTAGCTTCCTGAATCCCCTAGCCCTTTCCAAATATCAGAGTCATTGAATGGCAAGGATAATTCCTTTTCCTATCATCCTCCTTCCCTGTGTGAAACCTCACAACCCTGCTGGTTGCATGGGAGGTGGGATGGCTCCTGAAGGCAGCTGCTAAACTGCTTTATGAACTGTTCTCCATCTGGCTGCAAGGGAACTGGCCAGCGCCTATGGCATGGCTGACCTTGCTCCTGGGCTCCCATGTCTTCATTTGACTGGGACTCTGTGCTAGTCAAGCATTGCTTTCTCCTTCCCCTGACTGCCAGAAAAGTTGGTCCTCTGCCTGGCTAGTGACCAAGCTGTGTAAGTCACTTTTCTCCATCTGGTTTATTCTTGGGAAGACAAATAAACTGTTCTTAATTTAGAATGCAAAGTCTCTCCCTACCCTCTATCCCCAGCCTACTTACTGCATCTGCAACATATTTAATTTTGACTAATTTCTCTGTAATCTGGAGGGGAGGTCTGGCTGTTTCTTTCTCTCTCTCTCTCTCTCTTTTTTTTTTTCCCTGTCCTTTTCTATTTGCCAGGGACTAGCAGAATGTTTCCAAGATACTCAGAAATTTTCACTCACAAAATCACTTCTATATCTTTATTCAACTTTCTTACTATTCTCTGTTCCTTTGTAAAAAATAACCTTCTCCCACAACCTGTTACAAAAAGTAACAGCTTAATCTTTATATTTGCACTGTATCTTTATTGTCCTTTAGATATATCACTAACAACTGCACACATATATTCTTTCTTCTTACTTAGTTGCAAAAAGCCCAACAACACGCATTAACAAGAACTAATTCTACAGGAACATCTTACATTCTTGGTGCCAAATTGTCAGATTCTTCAGCTATTCTGATTGGTGTAGACCACACCAATGAAGCTTTACTTCTGCCCATCCCATTCACATATCAAACGGGAGCATTTTACAACCAGCAGTTATTCTGTATTAACTGACCTGTCTTTGCCTTTTAAAGGAAGAGTGAACTTATCTTACACCAGCTATGAATCTGTGAGAGATAGTGCCATGTTAACAGTTACAGTAGCATTTTTTTCCCTAAAACAGAGCAAAACAAACAAAAAATGTAAATTTTATTATTGTTTATGAGCACAGTTTAGAATTCTGAAGTTCAGCCCACATAAACTGATCTGCTGATTGCCTTAAGAGTTCCACTGACTTTCTGCAGCTTCAAGCTAGCTTTTCGACAGAACACGCTGTTAATATTTACATTTATACACAGACATAAAAAAGAGACAGTCAGCGTGGATATTACTGAGAGAATTGCAGCAAAATAAATAATGTTGTAAGCCTGTCTTTATAGAAGACAGAGTGATTATTTCATCTGAAGTAATTCATTTGGCCCTTTTGCTGTACTTTTGTGAAGATGGGCAGGTTAAATGCTCTAAATTCTGCTTTTATTTATATATTCATATGTTCAAAAATAACACAACAAAACAAATAAAAAAGAACAAAACAAAAAACAAAACAAAACAAAAACAACCAACCAACCAACCAAAAAAAAAAATAAAAAAATACCCCCACTAAAATAAGAAATTATTTTAGTTTGTGATAGGCTTGAATAAGGTGAAAGCAATTATCATCATCAACAACAAAAAAAAACAAGCTAGGATTAATTTTAAGACAGTTCAGATCAAATTGTCCCAGGAATGGAACTATGAAATTTGTATTGACTTCTCTTATATCTACCATTGAATCTGAATGCAAAACACAAGTTGCAAAGTAAAAAGAAAAAATTTTCCAAATGCCCTCTCCCTGAATTAAAGCAACAAAAAGAAAGAAAGAGGAATTTTCATCTCCTTCCCACTAAAAAAAAGGCACATCAAAGAAAGCATGGTAATTTTAGTTTCTTTTTTTGTTGGGAGAAAGACCTTTTCTCAGGCCATAATTGAAAACTCTAGCTTTCATTCTAGAAAAAAGAGCTCTCCAAGAAAAATGGTCTTATTATATTCCCCTCTCCCATTCCTAGAAAGCCACAGAAATTTAGACTTTAAGGGTGGTCCACAGGTATTAGAGTAAGGGCACTTTGTCTTGTGCAAGCTTCATAGTTCCCATGGACAAAAAGAAAATATTTTGTCCTTTTGCTTTCTTCTTCCCATGCAGCTCTGCTTGGCAGCAGGGATGACAGTTGGATCTTTTCCTCACCTAGTGGCTCATCTCAAAGGCTTTTCTCTTTACACAATTGTCTTTCAAGCCATCAATTTCAAACCTATGATTTATTCTTAGCTGGTAAAACTAGCATAAAGCACTGACATTTTCAGGTTCTTCAGACAAGAAACTCTTTTTTTTTTTTTTTGTTAAATTTAATGTCATACATTTTTGAATGAAAATGTCACGGGGATTAATTAAAAAACACACACACAAACATTAAAACAACAACCCTTTGACATTTCTGAAAATGGAATATTTAATTTCATTTTGTAGAACAAACCCAGCAGGGTTATTTTTCGGCCACTGAAATGTATATACAAATGTCTTTTCCAAATGAGGTTGAATTGACCAATTCTCAAACCAATGTCTATATCAGTTCTCCAAGAAATTATAGTAGATCAGAACAATAGTTTGATCAGTCATAGCTATAGATTTTTTCCAAACCTCCAGCAAGATTTTGCTGAGGCAATCACAAAGTTCATCATATGTTCCCTTCCAACTGGTCAGTCGATTTGTTCTGATTCCATTCCTAATTCCACTGGCAGTGAGTAACAGATGTTCCCAGTAGAGTGAGATGATTTTAAGCTTTTAAATATACCTTAAATGGAAGCTGTGTCAACAGCCAAAGTGATTCTAGTAGCTGAAAGCTGCCATATTGCTGCTTCTTCTCTGCAGGAAACAACATGGTCTATGAGACCAGAAAAAAAAAAAAAAAAAAAAACCCAAAGAAATCTCTGACAGGGTAAATGTTTTCATCAGTATGTGGCAGTCAAAATTATATCCCTTCAATGTTAATATAAAAAAGCCTATTGCAAACAGATGTGTAGGCAAAGAGAAGTGGAGACTGTTTGTCATATGAGAATGCTACCTCGTGTGTATGCATGTGTTTTTCTTTTGGTTGAAAAATGTTTCTTTCATAATTTTTGGAATTTGTCTTCTTGTATGCCTTTTTTAAGGTGCAGACTACATAGCTCATTTCTTTTGTCCTTATGTTGCACAGTAACTGTATCCTGCTAAAAGTCTCCTTCTCTCTGCTGTCAATTCGCCTCATAATCTCTTCAGCAAACACTCCCATTTTGCCTTCTTTCCTACTGCTCTGTTCTATTCCCTTCAGATGGCATATCTTACATGATATCCTGTGAAAAGACAGCATGCTCAGCAAATGAACACGCCTTGTTTAACTACTGTCAGCAATGCTTTTATCCTTTTCCTTCACATACTTCTACTTAATCCTGCTCTGGAGAATGAAATGTCACCTATGCTGCAGCACTAGTAAGTCAGTGAGACTAATGTATTACATATACTGAAGAATCACGTTTTCTTATATACTGTCTTCTGTGTTCTGGCCATGATTTCTGAATGTCTGAGCAAGATATGCAGAGCTGAACTTGCTTTTGTTCCTTTTTAGAAATAAATATGCAAAAAATGTGATAAACAATCATATAAAAGTTTCTCAATTTCCACATAGGAATAGATGCTAAAGCTTCTTTGTCTGAGTGAGGAAGAAGTAAGAAAGAGAAGGCATTCCTGAAGTCACCAATGGAAACTTCAGGAAAACTCCAGAACAGAATATTGTTTGTTCTTGCTTGCTTTTATTTACTTAGATTAGTTTTATCATTAGCAGGATACATTTAAGTCTGGAAAAACACCACGGTTGTTGTTTTAACTTTCTAGACTTCTCAAAAAGCCTCTTGGCCTAGCATAATACTTGTGTAGCGCTAATATTCTCTCACCTATAAACCTATCTACTATAATCATTACAGAACTGTTACTGTAATCCACATCTCTTGTGTAGTCCCAAAGTATCCTTAATTTCTTTTTGAGTGTGCAAGGAGAGTACAAGAAGAATATAAACTGTTGTTCAAAATTTCCTAAATCTAATTAACATAAAACTTCATTTCAATGAAAGAAATACATTCCTATTCAACAGTGCTTTAAAATTATTTTTAATGACGCTTATACCATCTCCTTATTTTTTCAGATGGTTAAAAAAAAAAGAAAAAGAAAAAGAAAAAGAAACAATTCTAGCTAATAGAAAAACATCTTTTATAGACAACTGCAAGAAAAGCTGTCAAAATACATAAGAAAATACATAAATACATTCAACTATATTGCATTGCTGTTTTTGTTTCCTTCTCATTGTTGAGATTTTATGATTCTTGAAACTAAATTATTTTGGGGAAAATAAAAAGTCTAGAGTGCAAAAAAAAAAAAAAAAAAAAAAAAAAAGGAAAGAAAAAAAAAGAAATAAAGGATTTCAGAAATTCTTCTTTCACTAACTTTTGTGACTACTCTAAATTGATTACTTGTTTCCCTGACTAATCTCTAAACAGAGGGCATATCCTTTTCACTTGCAAAGTACTCTCACACAAAATGAATTACCTTCCCACCACCTTGGTTACTTGCCAGGGAGTACTTTATTTTTCCACTAGGAACAAGAAAATCAGCTCGTATTTTTCTTGCTAGAGCCTTCTGCATTTTAATTCTGAACTCTGAATGAACATCAGAGAGGCCTTATGATGTTTTGCACAAAAGTGCCTGTGTTCATAGTTTTACTCAGGGCACCCAAAATAGCGTGCAGTATGCAGTGTCGTACTGTGAGTTTTCAAAAATAAAAGCAGGAGTGACTTATACTGGCAGGAAGCTGTAACTCCTAAAGCTTTTCAAGGATCTGTGAAGTTAAAAAGAACTTCTTACTTCTCCTCATCTGTTGTTTCATTTGACTTTAACGATACTCACTTCTCCAAACATTGAAGGCCCTGAGATTACACAGGTAAGATTTTTATATTTTTTGTCATTGTTATCTTCAAAAATTAAACTGAAAATATTTATCTGGATGTCTCCAATGCAAAATCCATGACAGACAAAGACAAAGCCAGAAGCCACCCAAAACTTCTAAAAGGAGAAAACAACTTTTTCTGTTTCCTCTGAGTTTGTTGTGTAGCTCCACTTGGTGCTGAAATTTAACTAAGTTGGATTTACTAAGTGAAAACATTGCTATGCCTGCACAACTTGCACATTAAAATGTTCATGCTGGTTATCAAGCTGTTTCTGCAAGAGCCCCTCCTCTGGCAGATTGTTTGTGAAGACTTCATCTATGCTCATGCCAGTAATTGCCATTAAAATGTGCTTACAGTGCTTAGAGTGAAAACTTGTTATCTTACAGGAATACTTTGAAATACTTCTTGTTTTGCTGTTCTCCATTTTACTGTAGCAATAAGAATCTATTTTCTTAAAATGCAGCTCAGTCCTAGCTTTAGATCAAGTTTTGCTACTCTTTATAATTCTACCTCTACTAACTGCAAAATGTTTCAGACAAAAAAAAAAAAAAAAAAAAAAGATTCTTTTACTTTTATTGGATCTGAAATGAAAAATGGCAATTTTTCAATAAACAAAATTTTCATAGAGTAGTGCAATATATATACTATCAAAATATTTATATAGTATGCTGTTAGAATGTATATTTATGATTTATTTTTCATGTTTAAACTGTTTGATTAGCCTCTATTTGAGATGTATGCATTAAAGTATAACCCAGAAATTTTTAATAGCTATGCACTGTTATTAAAATGCTAAATATCTGTCAATTCACTCATTTTTCACAGATTATTTTGTTATGAAATTGATAGAATTAAATGGCATTTGAGTTATGTCATTACTTTTTAATAAATTGTAATTTAAATTCATTTGCAGTTGTAAAATCATTTCAGACAAACTACTTCTGATTTGTAGGAGGATAAATTTGCACTAAGGTACATAAATTGGTCTGTGGATTTCGTTTTGAGAGTTATAAAGATACGTTTCAGTGTTCAGTTTTTTCCTGTTAGAAGTGTTGAACCAAGCAATTACATAAAATGAATACAGACAGGCCTGTGTCTGGAGTTTGGAATTTATGCTTCTCTACAGTCTGAAAAACACACTGACGTAAGAACTAGAAGACAATGAAAACCCACTGTTGGATTCAATTTTAAGGAAAGAGGAGGGAGGAAGAAAAAGCAGCTTGCCCACAAAGCATTCTGTGAAAAGAAGCTTAAAATCAAAGAATAAAAATTACAGCCCTACCATGGAAATCCACACATTTTTAGAGCACAAATGTTATGATTTATACCTTATTTCAGATAATTTATGATGTTTTAATGCATATCTTACATTTGGAATGTGTATAATGTTGAATATTTAAAAATGAATTCAAGACATTGCCTCCTTGTTTCAGAATAATTTGTAATTACTAACCTAAACTGAACATCAGGCAATACCTGCACATTTTTATATTGAATTAATAAGGCAGTATGTAGCATGCTATAGGGCAGATTTTTCATGTTCTCATCTTTTAGGCTCCTTGTTGCTTTTTATCGTTGGCTCCCCACTCCCCTTCCCTCCCCCCTTTTTTTTGCTTTGATACTTTATAACTCTTTGACATAATTTTTTTTCATACTGTGGCCTTTGCATCATATCGATTTTAATTACACAGGGGAAATTCTGGTTCAGCACTAATCCTAATTTGTCTACTTAGAATCTGTTTAATTACAAACTTGTAGTTTTACCAACAAATCTAGCAATACAATGCATAATTCAGAGTTTTAGTTCCATTGTAGGTGAAAAGCATTATTTTGGTTGTATTTATATTACAAGTCACAGAAAGTCTTGATTTCTACCACTGGCAGTAAAAATTTATTCTACCATTGTCTCTTAATCTTCTCTCTGTATCAACTATGTTCATAAGTGCTTCTGAGCCACAATGCTAAGCAGAAAAGATAACAGAATGTATTCCTTATCCATCCTTTCAACATACATACCCAAGGAAAATACGTGTTTCTGAAGATGAACAAGCAAGCATGTGCTGTGTGGTCAATTATACTGGCCAAAAGGAGCACAAGTATTGTGGAAACTTTCATTCTGAGCCCTGCTAAGCAGACAAGGTGGATATCCATTACAGAAGAAGTTAATGAGGATGGAGCAGTGTCAGTAAGACCACATGGGACAGAGCTGGGAACATAATTATGCTTGGATATAAAAGCATACAAACCTCTTCTCCACAGTGTCTTTGCCTCAGTATAAAAAGAATTACAATTGCTGGTGCTAACAAGCAGCAACTCTTAAGTGTTTGCAAAAGGACATTACTCCCAGCCTTACTATCAGGGACATAAACTTTGTGAAGACTTTGTAGATGGAGAGTGTTATTAAATTAGAATCTCCAGTTCTCAGACCACTGTTCTAGCTATTACGTCAAACTCTTTCTAAGTCAATGAAACAAGAGACATTCAAATAAGCAACAGCACAATGGGTCTTCAATTGGAAAAAAAAACAAAGCACCTAGCACCACAGTAAAAGACTGTGTCTGCAAACATAATGCTACAAATAAAAGCACAGTAATACTTGAATTAAGTTTGCCAATAATATCTTACTCTGCTACAATATTAAATTTGTGATGAATAAACTTAATTTGCATTCCTACTATTGTCACTTTCCAATTTCTAAGTGGCAAAATTATTGATAAAACATTAGAGGAAATGTGAATTGTCACTTGATATTTTCCTGGTTTACTTTTACAAGGAATTTTGACACAGTGAAGACCAAAAAAAATCCTACTAGAGTAAATTGTAAAATGTAATTAGCAAAAAATAACTTGATTCATTATGACTGATCACTGGCCTGAAGTATTTATTCTGATTCAGTAAAATAAGGATAAAATCTCCCTGGAGAACACACATTTTTTCAGTGTTTTACAGATCTTTAAGACAGGAATAGATGATACAGGTAATGAAAATAACAATTTTAAGCTCTTGAAGTTTAATTCTGGTAAACAATTTTATATGTAAAGTGTTTTGCAACTGCGTTAAAATATATTAAAGACTTCTATGTATAAATATTAAAAACATCCTGCTCTCATTCTCATACAGGTTTGGTCAAAATGAACAAGATAGACTTTTTAGGAGTCAATTACACATGGTATTTAAGCCTGTTAGTTACAAAAAAAAAAAAAAAAAAGAAAACAAAAACAAACAAAAACCCTGTGAAATTGTTAATCTGTGCTTTCTTGCCATCTGAAATCTCTCTAAAAAATTCAAGAAAACTGCCAAAAATGTCCATAAACAGAATAGAGAAACTGTAATGCAGTAGCACTGAAGGTTCATATAATCTATAATTCTTTGCCTATTTTTGGAATTTTTATTGAAAACAGATGTGTAAATATATGTACATAAACAGAAAATTGTGATTTGCATTATGTATTTCTGTGGCGATTGCCATGAATGTGCAGTCAGGAACAGAAGCCCTCTGTCATCCTTGCTCACATGCATTTTTGAGATTACGAACGCAGCCCAGGAGCAATCATATGTCTTTTGACTGTTATCCATGACATTAAGATGTTATTAAATGGTATTTTTTTTCTCCAAATGGTGCAAATTCGGACTCTCTTTCGTCCTACACAAAGAATACAGAAAACTACCATATTCTCCTAGAGTCCATCATCACTGTAAAAATTACTTTTACTCAGCTCTGGTAGTGAAACTATGTTTTTCTGACACAAAGAATTACAAGAGAACGTCTATAATTATACAACAAATAAATAATGTGAGGAGAGTATGTAAAAAGGAAAATGAGAGAATTGCAATTGAATTTAATGGAATTCAGCCAAGGTTTTGGGCTTTTCTGTTTGGTTTTTTTTTTTTTGATTGATTGATTGATTGATTATTGATTGATTGAAGTTGTTTTTGGTGTTTTGTTTTGTTTTTTGTTTGTTTGATACAGGAATCATGTACCTGTTTCTTTAAAGTTATCTTTTACCATTTCTTGGTTTTTTTTGTGTGTGTGTTTTTTTGTTTGTTTTTATAGAAATGTGATAGTTTTAGCACTTCCTTTAAGCTGAAGTTGCTGAAGCTGTTAGCTGTCCTGCTATTGCACAGACTCTAGTCCAAGCATTTGCAGCCCCTTTGTCAGTAAACTGGACAACAGTGCTAGTTTAAGTTACTGCCCTATTCATCCTCCAATGACTGATCTCTCACTCTTTCATCTTCCATGTGATGCAGATAACTGTCAGAGAAGATTAGGATGTTGCTAGTACTCTTGTTTATGAATCTCTGGAATATATAGTGGCTGGGTCAAAATTTACCTTTAGCAATAAATCCCAATGATAGATGAGCCAGAATGATTTATGTTACTTTATATCCCTTGTTGTACCCCTGGAATATAGAAAGATGTTTCCTGACAAATTAGGATGACATCCAGACTTACATCACAAAGAAGTGGTAAGTGTATTGGTTTTCCTCTCACATCAAATTTAACGTATAAATTGAATTTTTTCAAATGCCAGATCATTAGATAGATGGTGTACAAAGCTATTTTTGTAAAAGATTGACCCATGAAATACATAAATAGAATTTGGAAATGTCATATGGAGATAAACTGTGTTGATTGCTAAGCTTTTCATATGAGCATTTTTAGGATTGTGCAAATGTTATAAAATTAGACTATTTTCTGGTGCCTTACGTGTAATGTTGTTCTACTCAGCTCTTTAAATCAGCCATTTTTTAGTCTCAAGAAGAGATTTCTACCCTCTTACGATTACAGGAAAAGAGAACCCAGTCTCAAAGACTGCCATGACTTAAGATCAATTTGATCTTCACTGTGGAAATTGAATGGGCTCAGATGGTCAAAAATTTTAATCATTCAACTAATACACGTAATTTTACAAGAAACATGGCTCCTCTGTCCCATGCTGCAACAGACCGCATCACTGAAATTTAGATCAGGCAGATAAGCACGGCTGTTGCT